TTTCATTTAGGCCTATGTGTTACATCTGTCTCTTATACACATCTAGATGTGTATAAGAGACAGGTAGGGTGTTTGTCAAATTAGTCTAATAATCAAATATGAAGAAAAAAGATAAGCATTCTATAAAATGACAATTCTACTTGAATTTTTCATAGATTTATTGCTAATCGGGAAAGGCTACAGTGTACATACCATTATTTTTTTCATTACATAAACATAGCTTAACAGAGCAAGTGTTTGTAAGCACAGATTATCTTATTATTATTGCCATTATTTCAGCAATCTGAAACCTTGCGGTGATGGACTTTCGTGTTCTACCAAAAGCTTTTAATATAAATTTAAAACATGGCAAGGATAATTATTGTGCAATTAATTGAACTCCGACATTAGATAATACTAATCAAATTATATATTTTCATAAATTACCAATGGAATTACAGTGAAAAAAATTTTGATTGCCATTTTCAATATTTACACATTTGTGACATTATATTGGTATCTTTTAGTTTCCAACAAAGAAAATGTTTTTTGTTTGCCAAAATCCTATAGAGAAATTGCAATAGGCTGGTTATTGTTTCTACAATTTTGTGCATATCCAAGGTTTTGATTGGTGAAAAGCTTAACCCTAACCTAGAATTTCAGTACTGTTACCCTACATCATGTCGGAAGAATAAGCATTTCCTTTGTAAATTTTGTATAATATTTTTGTAGGTAGTTGACATTTTTGTTGAACTAATTTTTTTTTTTTTTTTGTAGAAACGTAATGATATTATCGGGTACCTGAATCAATTAAACCCCCAAGACCTTGGTGATTTAGCAATGATGACATCAACCATAAATGAGGCTATAGCAGTTCCAGATGAAACATCATCAGAAGCTAAGGTTTTTAGTATATTTCATTAATATTTGTGGATGCTTTTATAGTTGATTTTAAATGGTGTACTGAAAGAATAAATACAATGCGTAGAAGCATGTGTCGCAGCATGTAATGCATTGGACTTTCAATCTGAAGGTCAAGGGTTGGAGCATGATGCTCGTCATACTGCTTCTGTCCTTGGGAAGACACTTTATCTGCATTTGCCTTTTTTCACCCAGGAGTATAAATTTATAAATGGGTATTTGGAAGGAGGTGAATGCTTCGGAATGAAATTAGTAGTGCTGATACACACATAGGCAGCGTAGGAAATTGCATGTTAGGTATGATTGATTCTGTATCCAATGACCAGGGAAAAAGGCGCCTTCAGCATTTTTCTGGATATGTGTGCTATATAAATCCTATAAAATAGAATTTAAAAAATAATAAACATTCTTTACAAAATAATAAACATTCTGTAAAAAATAAAAATCTAAACATGGAATGGAAGAAGCTTGTCTTTCCAGTCTTAATAAACCGAGCTGAAACTCTGTATCAGCTGTGCTATTTCTAATACCTAAACAACTCCCCTTTCTAAGACTTAAAAGAGATTTGGTTTATAAAGCAACATTCCATCATTTAGTTGGTGAGTTACTTGATGTTGGATGTTAAGGAAATTATGCTGAATTCTGTCTTTAATGCAGTAGTTACTCCGAAATCAGAATGTCTGCGCCCGCCACCTACCTAATCGGAGGGTTGATTAAAACTTTTGCTCCCTCTATGAGAGCTTGTGTAATTAATGATAAGTTCAGGCCGCATAACCTCCGAAAGTTGCACTGAGCGCAAACATTCTGATTTTTGAGTTTTTGCGTATATGCAACAGTGGTTGCGCCAGCCGGTGGCCAGGGCCCCTTTGTCCGGACGCGCTGCCCCCGCTACATATTTTTTTGGGGTCTTAGCCCCATGGAACAAGAGGTTTTCAGCGATGCCTGACCACACCCACTTTTTTCATCGGGGAAATTGCAGCGCTAATGCACTTTTGCACCTAACTTTTAATTCTTAATATTTGTAGATCAATGTTCTTCTCGCAGTCACAACATATAATTAACAAACATGTTCACATGATTCAACCACTCACTAAGTACTTTTTTCAACAAATAAGCCCGCAAATAAGTACAGTGAATCTGAGCTCACTAGCACGACGAGCGGCTGCCATTTTGCAATCTGTAAGAAATTGTCAGAATGTCTGAGTTTACAGCGCAAAGTTTTTTGATTTAAACGTTTATGGGAACTTAATTACGTTCATATGTCATTTCATTTAGGCCTATGTGTTACATTGTATGGTGTTGTTTGATTATGATGTGTGTTCACATGAAATTCACCTGGAAAATAATTAATTTTAGAAAATTAATAATGATCCAAATACGTACACAGATATACAAATAGGGCCTATTGGCCTAATCGAGCAAAACAACTATCAAAGCGAATGCTAAACTGGGGTGGCACCATGATTTGCCCGACCGGGGGGGGGGTGTCCGGTGCAAGGTCCCCGACGGGGAGAAGAGTGGCGGGCATTCCCCGACGAGGAGGTTGATTTCTCCAACGACAGCCAAGTGGGCGTGGTCGAGCGTCGCTTAAAATGTTTCGGAAGTGGTCCAGAGGAGAAGCCAACAAAAATGTTGACAATTTAGGGGTTTCAAAGGCTTATTTAATCGATTTTAGTGTGTAATACTAATATGTAGAAAAAAAATTTTCCAACACCAGCGGAAACACTCTTTGTGTCAAGGGGCGTAGGTACACCCCAATTGGTGTAACTCAGTCGGCGTAATAATTTCAACCTATTGCATTTCCTCGTGTGGAATCATAACCGGACCCCTTTTTTCGTTGCGGATTGTAATTACCTCGCTCCATGCACTATGCTGCACATTATATTTCAACACAAGTCTCAGCTATTGGTTACATTCACCGTGCCCAAGGTTGGAATGATCCCACAAAATCATTTCTTGTGGCATGTGCACTAAAAAAGGTGTTCATGCGCTCTCTGGCTCCTGTGATACGAGACTCCCTATCACCAAAGAGATATTATACAACATACTAAGCGCGGTGGCGCACATTGAACCAAAATTTTCTGTGCAACTTTTACTTAAAGCAATCTTTTCAACCGCCTTCCATGCTTTTCTTCGCGTAGGGGAGCTTGCTGCCCACAAAAAACTTGCCCACACAGTTATTCAGACTGATGATATTGTATTCTCTGAAGTCGGGGTACGTATCACTATCAAATATTCTAAGACATCGAGGGAGAAGCCTCCAATATCTCTCCTTATCAGTAGGTCGGCGGGTCACACTTGCTTAGTACGGATTCTTGAAGTATACCTCGCCTATTTTAAGCATGTATCGGGGCCCCTCTTCCAATTAGAGGACAGGAATCCAGTTTCTCCCTCATTCGTCAACTCCAAACTGAAGGCAGCAATAGATTTTTGGGCCTCGATCACTCACGTTACTCTGGCCATAGTTTTCGAATTGGGGCTGCAACCTGGGCAGCAGAAATGGTGCGCCCCGAAGCGGAAATTCGCACTATGGGAAGATGGAACTCACAAGCCTTCTGCAATTACATCCATATGTCGGTCTGAGATTTCAGCAATTAGCTGGGGCAATAAAACGCTGTGTAGTTCGCAAACACGCCTGTGGCAAAATTATACTCATAAACGTTTCATCTACAATTCGTCCTGGTTACCCTGTTGTTACACCTTATCCAGCCTTTCAGCATGGCTGGGGCAGCATGTTGTCAGCACTGTCCAAAAATAATTACTGGTACCCTGTTGTACCTCGCAACACTCATTTCAGATTCAGTAAGTTTACTTCACTGAAACGTGCCTGTCAGCGGCTGGCTGGGGCTACGTAATGAAAACTATTTTCTTCGATATTGTACGTTTGCGAAATCCATTAAGTCTTTAAAATGCCTGTCAGCAGTTGGCTGGGGCAGTTTACGCAGAACACTATGTATATTAACTTTTATCTTATTTTTGTATTTATGGCACTGCAATAAACATATTTACTAATCGGGTTCTGGAGTTTTCATCACTGAAAACTTGCCTGTCAGCAGCTGGCTGGGGCATCGCAGTGAACAAAATTCTCCTCGATACGGTTCACAGGATAACTCCACTGTTTAGAAACAGGCTTGTCAGCAGATGGCTGGGGCCGTTTTCAGCAAACAAGGTCTTTAATCATTATTTTGGTATTCCCAGTAGGCCTACATTATTTTAATAAACTTTAAATCAGAGGTTTAGATTATGGTATTCATTAATAACTTATTTTTCACATAAAAATTCGGCATACGCATCTGATAAGATGACCTTAGAAACCGAAAAATTAGAACGTTTCAAGTAAAATTGAAAATTACGCATGCTGAGTAGCTAGATCTATATGGTTACAGTAAATGTAGGTGTGATTCGGTCGTAATCCCTTCTCATACTATATTCATTTGGCCATGGCCTTGCTGCCTGCGTTGGGTGCTGATCCTTTCGGGGTCAGTGACGCTACGGCACTCTGCCGCTTGGCTTGTTGGCCACTTTTTAAGAATTTTTACTATGGAAATTAATTTAGGGACCGATCGTGTGCAACGGTCCATTTGCCTTTTGTCGTAATAAATCACGACCGAATCACACTATATCTGATCATGTGTACAGTGTATTGAGGGTGACGGCCAAGAGTGGGTGGGGGCCTTACAGTTAATTCTTAGCCCAGTAGACACAAATAGCATATAATTTTTTTTTCTCCACGACGAATTGTGTTTTTTCTTCCATACGGCGGGGTGGGGGGAGCACCTGGCCCCCGCAAGCGCCATCCCTGAAAGCTAAACTTTGGTTCGATTAAACTTGATTACGACATAAAGTTAAAAAAGATGGTACTACGTAATGATGTCACATTTTGTTGACGGATGTTCTTTCATGGGAAAATTCAGATTCAAATTATAAGACTGGCCTTTAATTAATTGTTACAAAATTTAAGAATTAACTTGGGCATTCTGGCAATTTCTTACTTGATTGCAAAGCTGAGCAAAATAGTGTGTATACGGTTCGTCGTTCTGGCAAGCGCGGAAACACTTTATATAAATTTATAAAGGTATCATTTTTGTTGTAAAATGTACTTTGTGAGTGGTTGAATCATATAAAAATGTTTTATAAATATGATGAACAATGAGGTAAAAAAATTAAGAATTAAAAGTTAGGTGCGAAAGTGCATTAGCGCCGACCATGATGTTTTCTACCCCCCCCCCCCACCCATCGCGCAAATCCTGGCGCCACCACTGTGTAAAAACTTCAAAATCGGAGGGTTGATTAAAGTTTTTATCTGTTAGGGAGAGCTTGTTTAATACTTAAAAATTTTAGGATGCAAAACCTCCGCACCGGGCACAGAAATTTTGATTTTGGAATTTTCGCATATAGTACGCAAAAACTCTGAAATCAGAGGGTTGATTAAAAGTTTTGCACTCTCTATATAGGGAGAGCTTGTTTAATTAATAATAAGCTTGATTGACACTCGAATCACTAGCATATTTTTTTTCGCAAGTATTTTGGAACATACTGAGTGTTTGGTATGAAAACACGTCAAGTACTGTAAGGCAAAACATCACTTCTAAAATGTATAGCTTGCAATAAAAATGAGTATGAGAACAATTTTATAGAAGGTAGTACAATATTGCAATGGATAACAAGATGTAATGAAAACATTGAATGGAAATATTTTAATTTTGTGTGCAGTAGATGGCATCCAATTAAATCATGCAGTGTCAAGCTATATAAATTATGCATTCAAAAGCATGCAGTTGAAACACTCATTAGAAATTATGTATGAAAGCTAGTAGTTCGGCAAATGGAACAAATACAGGATTACTGTTTAGCAAATATTTTCTTTATTTATAGAATACTACGATAACAATGGTTGAAAAACTGGCAATCGTGATGTCATCGCAGGCAAATGAAATCGTCACAAGTGCAGATGATATTGAAGGGTCTGCATCCTCTGTTCTTGAGGTCTTAGGTAAGTGTAGGTATATATGATTATAATTATATATAAACTAGAGTTGTCCAAAATCTTAGGTTTTATTTTTTTTTTTGACTAGTGCTGTCTAATACGCATGCACATAATAGTGTGGAAGAATTAGGTGCTTCAATCGGATTTGAATTCTTTAGAAAGAAAGTTTATGATTATGGCACCTTTAGTTGACCGAAAATGACACTCTTAGACATTAATTTTAGTATTTATTTTCACATATTTTCCAATTTTTTTTATAATTTGGAAAAGTTCAGGGGCTCCCAGGCTGGCTGTTCCCCCTCCCGTTTAATCCTCCACTGATCTGTAGTGGTTAATGACTTTTGTTAACACGTTTAATTTTATTATGCACATATTTATATTAGGTTGTATTATAACTGTTATTAAATGTACAATAATACGTAATATATTTACATAAATAAATACAGGTATTATTAGATTTTATTTACTGTGATAAATTTAGTAAAATAAATTGAAGAAAAAAAATATATACAACCTAATAAATAATTAGTTTAGTTAATACAATGAAGAAATAACTGATACTGTACTTCGCTAATTATACTATAAACACCAGAAATTACCATATGAGTAGGATTAATTGGGTGTGTAATGGCTCCTATCTATGTCTTAACCAACAACCCTATTCTGAAATGGATCATTCCTTTGTAAATGACATTTATTACTAACTGATATTTCTTCCTACTGGCATTATTTCTGATTTCCACAAGGGGTTGCATCTATAATTAAATACTAAGAAAACAATGCATTGCATGTCTAATTAGCTGATTATATTGTAATTATTTTAGAGAATTGCTTCTTTTGTTTATGATAGATTGTGGCTGGGCTATCTTTGACCATTTGACTGAATAAAAATTTCCTTCTATATCTGCATATGGATACTAGTTCAGTTTTACTATTGTGAACATAGTTCAGGGTGACATACAGGGTATGATAATAATTTTCTCATATAAAAATAAATTGCATCATTTAGTAATGTTTGAATATGCTTTGCATTGTTTGATGATTTTCCATTTTATAGAGTATTTAATGTTAGAGTTCGTAAGGGTCCATATATATTTGCTTAGTTCCGTGCTATTTTTTTTCACCCTGCCCAGACGATCTGTTACCTCATGCTTGTGTATATATTTCCCCTTTAATGTTGAGTGCTTTTCGGATCAGTATGGAAAGTGAACTTTGGATACTCAACGAAGAACATCCTTATGGCACACTAACAACTACTTGAAGTGTTTAATTGAAAAGACGGAATCTTTTTTAAGACGAATTCAACTAAAAGTATTTTACTTTCTAAATCCACAACCCGAATCATCAACAGAAAGGTTTGGATTCAAACAAGTTCACCAAAGCCTATCACAGAACTTAATTAATTTGAGGAAAAAATGCTTAGCCTCATTCAGAACATTGATTTCAAGGATTGCAACTCTAAATTTTAAAAGAAATTATCTCAAGATGTTAAAAATATCAAGAGAGATGTCAAACCAATAATAGCTGCTGATAAAACCACCAACTTTTACCGGATAGATGCACCATCGTACAACAAACTACTAGAGAACAATATAACTAAATCATACAAGAAAGCTCATAAGAATACGACAACCAAGATACTAGCAGCAAGCAAGCAGATCTTAGAAAGAATAAACACAAAGGTAATAGCATCAACCAAATTGAATCGATGGAAAAGAACCGACTCTGTAATTGACTGGTACAGAAACATCCCCAACAAAAATAATCACTTGTCCATACAGTATGCTTTGACATTATTGATTTTTATCCGCCTGCATCAGAAGATCTACTAGTAAAGGTAATCGAATTTGCATCAGAATATGACACCGTCACTGACCAGCGAAAAACATCATCTTTCAAGTCAAGAAATCTCTATTATTTTATGAAAACATCCCTTAGTGTAATAAAGAATCAGACGATGAATCTGTATTTAATGTAGCCATGGGAAGCTTTGATGGAGCTGAAACATGCAAGCTTGTAGGGTCCTATCTGCTCTCACCGCTATCACAAAAATATGGGAACCAAATAGGCCTATACCAAGATGATGGATTAGCCACATTTCATGAATCACCATGAAGGACTGAAATAATAAAGAAAGACATATGCAAGATATTCAGCAAAGACAATTTAAGGCTAACAATTGATAAGAAGTCAGTGGAATATCTTGACATAATGCTAGACTTGAGAACAGGATCATTTTGGCCATATACCAAACCAAACAATACTCCTTTGTATGTGCACCAGGATAGTAACCACCCACCATCAATAATCCAAAACATTGCCCTAGCAATAAACAAGAGACTCTCAAACATACATCCAATGCGGATACATTCAACGCTGCCATACCCCCACACGAAGAAATTCTAGAGGAAAGTGGGTATGAGCACCAACTAGAATTCACCACCAAAGAAACAACCAACAAAGAAAAAATCACGTAAAAGGAACATCATATGGTTCAATCTAGACTGGGTTCCAGTCCCTAATCTTTGTCTTAATCAGTTGAAATGCTTAAGAATAAATCGATTTTGGCACAAATGGCGTTCCATATTACTTATTTGCATGGCATTCCATAGTATACTTTTTCTAGGATTAGGAAATTAACTAATTCTTATCAAAAAAGTTTCTCAACATAAACTGATGCTGGTGGCGCTTTCCGAAATGCGCTAATACTACGAAAATCCATAAATTAGAGACTTGTGGCAAGTCTAGGTTCAACCCACCGTATAGCGACAATGTCAAAACTAATATCGGACACGAATTCCTACATCTAATAGACCAATGTTTCCCCAAAGTCCACCAACTATCAGGAAGATACTCAATACGAACACTTTGAAACTAGTTCTATACCTAGCATGAACAGTATCATCAATGCATTCAATTAATTAAGTACTGGTAAATGCAAACGGCGCAAACCCTAAAAGTAACACCGATGGATGCAACTGCCGCAATAAAAATGAATGCCCGGACCCTTAAAAAATGCCTCACAGAATGGGTAGTCTACCAAGCCACTGTGATTGGAGAGGACAATCTGAAAAAAAAAAAAAAAAAAAACATACGTGGGACTGATTAAAAACATGTTCAAAACCAGATACAGTATAGGAATCATTCCGAAATGCAAAGCAAAAAATAGCACAAAACTAAGCAAATATATATGGATGCAAATATATATGGACGCAAATACATGGACCCAAATACATGGATCCTTATGGACTCTGACATTAAATACACTATAAAATGGAAAATCATCAAACAATGCAAAGCATATTCGAACATTATTAAATGATGCAATTTATGTTTATATGGGTAATTTATTATCATACTCTGTATGTCACCCTGAACTATGTTTACTTGATAGTAAAAATGAACTAGTATCCACATGTGGACATAGGAAAATTGTACTCAGTCAAAGATAGCACAGCCACTATCTATACTAGCATAAACAATTCTCTAAATAATTACAATATAATCAATTAATGTGTATATGTATATATATAATATGTATATGTATATATATATATATGTAACATATGTAACCTTGTACTGACTACTCACTATGTATTTGTACCTGATGTGTGTGGGCAGCTTTTAACAGCAGCCCATATGAAACAAACTTGTAGTAATAAATGCATATGGAATTTTTCTAAGTTTGTCTACTTTGTTCGTTTTATTTTGCTCCCAACTGGTTGAGCTCTCTCACCCTTAATGACTTACAAAAAGATCACCTTGATTATATATATATATATATATATATATATAACTCGATAACATCAACAGAACCACCAGAAGCGCCACCCTCGTCAACCAATGGAAAAACTCAACTTCAGTCATAGAATGGTTCAACAAGATCGAGAACAAGGATAAACACACCTTCATATCCTTCGACATTGTGGACTTCTACCCCTCAATCACCGAAAACTTGCTCAAAAAAGCCATAGCATTCGCCAGGAATCACGTCAGAATCTCCCAACAAGAAACCGACATAATCCTCCACTCCAGAAAATCGCTCCTGTTCGACGACGACAAACCATGGGTAAAAAAGGACAACGATGGACTATTCGACGTGACCATGGGCAGCCACGACGGTGCGGAAGTTTGCGACCTTGTGGGACTCTACATCCTGCACATACTTTCTAAGAAGATTGACAGACGGAAGATTGGACTTTACAGGGACGACGGACTGGCTGTCATCGAAAACGCATCAGGGGTTACATCCGACCGCATCAGGAAGGACATCACCAAAACATTCCACGACCTGGGACTCCGAATCACCATTACCTGCAACACTAAAGTAGCCAACTTCCTGGACATCACCCTCAACCTCAGCAACGGCAAATACCAGCCATACCGAAAGCCGAATGACCAACCTCTGTACATCAACAGGCGATCTAACCACCCGCCTAGCATCATCAAAAACCTGCCCGACTCGGTGAGCCGACGACTATCCGACATCTCCTACGACGAAGAGACTTTCACCAACGCCACACGACCTTACAACGACGCCTTAAAATCAAGTGGATTCCCTGGAGACCTGACCTACGTTAAAAATCCGCCCAAAAGAACACGCAACCGCAAACGCAACATCATCTGGTTC